AGCCCGCCTCTGGGCTTCTCTCGGCCCGGCCGGGAGGCGGAGACAAGGAGGGACAGGGGGGCATGAAGCGACGAGGGCATGGGCCCGGGTTGCCCAGCGCTACGAGCAGGAGCTAGGAAGCCCCTTCCCCTCTTTGCCCTCCCGCTTCCCCATTCCCCTTCTCCTTCCTTCCCCCTTCCCTCTTTACCCCCGTCTTCCATCTTCTCTTATTCCCCTTCTTCTCTACCTCCTCTTTCCCGCCTCCTGCCCTCCCTCCCTTTCCTCTTCCCTTCCTCCTCTCTTCTTCCATCCCTTCTCCTTCCACTCTGCCCTCCTTTACTCTCTTCTCTTCCCCTTCCCCTTCTTTCTCTCCCTCCCTCCTCTTCACTCTCTTCTTTTCCTTTCCTTCTCCTTCTGCTTCTCTTTCCCCTCTTCCCATTCTTCCTTCCCTCCCTCTCCTCTTCCCCCTTTCCGCCTTCCCTTCCTCCTTCCCTCTCCTTTCACCCTTCCTTCTCTCCTCCTTCCCCTCTTCCCCCTGGCTTTCCTCCAGGGCAGGCATGTCCCACCTCAAGCTGCGACTCTCACTGTGCCTGAAAAAGGGTGTTTGTACCCGAAATCTTGCAAAGAACTATTTTTTTCATCTATTTCGTTGGTCTAATAGATATCGGATTTATCCAAGAAGGGTGTTTGTGCCCAAAAGCTTGCAAAGAATAATTTTTCCAACATTGAGTTGGTTTAATAAGAGATATCACAGCTGCCCAAAGAACCTTGTCTGCCTGTGTCGGTAGACCAACAGGGCTGCAACCTACACCCTCAGTCTCTAAAAGGATGCCTTTTGCAAAGTGCTACCCCCAGAAAAGATCTCACATCTACCCAAAGAGCCTTGCCTGCCTATGTCCTTAGACCAACACGGCTACAACCAACACCGCTAGAAAGCACCTGCTCCTCAACCACTGGCAGTTGCAAAAGCTTGAGGGAGTATTAGGGAGAGGGAACCGGGTTTGTATCACTTACTCCCCCTGCTGGATGCTTTTTAGCATCCATCTCTTCAAGCAAAATGATGAGAAGGGTTAGGTCAGCTCAGTTCTATTTCTCTTTCCACAGTTACCGTAGGACACAAGAAAAGCTAGGAAATGCGTCTCTGCCACAGCTTGTGTGGCAGGTTCTCTCAGAAACCTCAAAAGCATGGTATACCCAGCAACCCCTTGAATTCACCCTCTACAAAGCTGTTTCTAGAGCAGATGCGAGAATAATGAAAACTCCACAAGATGGTCTTTAACTTATCTTGTTTAGTCTGTCTAGATAGATCCATACTTCTTTAACTGGGAGGGGAGGGGGCACAAAGTTAGGAATACTTACTTTAAAATGCAAGAGGAAGATTTAGGCAGATGGAGCATCCTTTTCCACAATGGAATCTGTCCAGGACACTGGTGGACAAGACCACAATATCTAAAAGATGGCAAGTCTCATAAAAGTGTCCCCTTGGAATCATTCTGACATTTTGAGCTTTTGAATCAAAGGCTTGCGTGCCATCTACTGAATCACCAAATTGTATCCTGCCAACAAACTTAGGTATAAACACATAGGGACAGACAATTGCACATACTTATTTGGCACAGAGACTCTTCAACTGGTATCATTAGTAAATACTAAAAAAAAAATCTATAAAGAACACTCTATGCCATGTTTCTAGTATTATTCCTATTCTAAGGTGACACATTCCCCCCAAAATGGTGTGCATGCATGTGAGAGGGGAAAAAGTGCCTGTTAATATTATCGTCACATAATCACCGACTCCCAGCATTTCAAAATGAGATGCAGAAAATTAAGTCATTTTCAACAGCTGTCTCCTAGGTTCTTGGAAGAGCTGGCAATGGCACTAGATTGCTAGGGGGTCCAAAAATAGACTTATAGTTTCATAGTAGCTAGGGTCAGGAGGGACCTGAACAGATCATCTAGCCTGACCCCCTGGCACAGGCAGGAATGAATGCTGGGTTCACAAGACCCCAGACAGGTGATCGTCCAACCTCCTCTTGAATTTGCCCAAGGTAGGGGCAAGGACCACTTCCCTGGGAAGTCGGTTCCAGATTTCAGCCACCCTAACTAAAACATTGCCTTCTGATCTCTAACCTAAACCTATTCTCCATCAGCTTATTACCATTGTTCCTTGTCACCCCAGGTGGTGCTGGGGAGAAAAGGGCTCTACTTATTTGCTGTTGATCTCCCCTGATGGGTTTGTAGGCAGCCACCAGGTCCCCCCTCAGCCTCCTCTTGCTGAGGCTAAACAAGTTCAGGTCCCTCGGTCTCTCCTCATAGGGCCTGTCCTGCTGCCCTCTCACCAAG